ATAGCTGCATCAACTGGATCTATAGAGCAAGAAAATAAAGACGAAAGTATGAGGTCTGTACAAGCATTTATTAAACAGTTCAGAGAGAACTAATGAGAGTTCTAGCAAACTGTAAACTGTAATTGTAAGACTATAGCAAGGATGTTGTCTAGGCCACAAACCGTAAAAAGTCTAATTGAGTACTTAATTAAGTACTATAATAAATTTAGCAACGGAAACCGGAGTTATTTGGATGTCTTTAGTTGACTTTTTTTACTTGAAAGACAAAAACAATTTGAAAAGGTTAGGAAGAAAAAAGATAAGAAAGAATAAAAGAAAGCTTCCATTGTCTTCCTGGATTCACGAGATTACCTGCCTAGTTCCTAGAGGCGCATTTATTAACGGATAGACAAAAGACATTCGCCCAAGGACTGTCACAAAAAAAAATAAGGAAAAGAATAACAGTCATCATTAAGATAGTAGTACGAAGTGTGATGATAAGGTAAGTCCAAAAAAGTATGAAATAAAAGATTTATTTAGATCATTGCACGGTCAGAACCACCTAATAAGTGGTTCTAACTGTTACCCGTCATTTAATGGGTTTAAAATTACCCGTTGGTTGTTGACTTCATTCTTAGTCTCGATATAAAAACCTCTAAATAAAAATTTCTTTTATTTTTTTGTTTAACAACAACAAAATTGCATTCTAATCATTTGAATATTATTAATTAAGAAATAAATTTACGAACCATTCAAACTTTTTTTTCGTCATTTCGTCACCTTTAAGAAGGTGACGAAATGACGAAATTTCGTCATCTTTAAGGATAAAGGTGCCACCTGCAATATTGATCAAAATGAAACCATTATGTTGGGCCATCGGTTATGAGTGCTAGAATTGAATTCGGCTTTTTTATGGCCAGATAGCTCAGTTTGTTGAGCGTCAAGCGAAATATTGGAACACGTGGTGTTCAAATCGATTAACTCATTAACTCAGCTTTGAGTAGCACTTTAGTGGCAAAAATATTTGTCAATGGCGGACGCTACTTTGGATTTGTCTCTATGACTATTTTTTTTTTTTTTTAATTTCTAATTTTCCGTTTTTGTTACAATTAAATTCCGTAATATAATACAAGATACTCTTATTCTTTCAAAAATAAACCAGTTATAAATATAAAAAATCAAAGACAAAATAATAAGAGTTAGTTATACAAAAATAAATAAAAAGGCGGGAAACTTGCAGAAGACCATTAAGTCTTATCATCAAGAACCGTTGTAATAATTATGTTTTTACAATATTAAATTTCTATAATAATGTTAAAAGCAAATTTTAATTAACTAAGGTAAATAGGGTCAAAACCAATAACTTTTCAATGTAAAAAGACAAAAACAAAAAAACAAACAAACAAAAAAACAAAGCAGTTTAAAAGAAATCATTAATAAGATTTGTATACTTTGAAATATTCTTTTTTATTAGATTTTGAAAGCAATTTATATTGTTTATGCATGGTAAATTACTATATTTTGCTAAGATTTTATTCCAGATATGCGGAGCACGATACGTAATTTTGAATTGTTCTTGTTTAGTTTTGCACAATGATTCAATTAAGCCTGTTGTGCGTAAAGTATATTTAATGTTAAGTTTTATTTCATAAAGATCATTAAAAATTGAGGGGCATTGTTGAAATTTACTTTTGTACATGAGACGTAAAATTTTATAACGTTTATCTCGTACAACGTAAAAATATTCATAATTTCGAACAGTGGTTTTGCATGTTCGTTTTTATTTTTAAAATTTATTATTCTTAAGGCATGTGTTTGTTTTCGATAGAGTGTTTCAAGCTTGCTTTTAGATGTACTACACTACGCAATATTCGCGTAATTCAAGTAAATTTGTATAAAACTAAAATAGATTTGTTTTAGATGATGCTTATTAAGTAAATCCCGTGACTGATATAGAACGCCTATACTTTTTGATATTTTGCTGCCAATATAGGCAATATGTTTATTCCAGGTAATATTTTCGTTAATGAAAACACCAAGAAATTTTGTAACTCTTTCGCGACTAACTTCTGTGTTTTCAATAACTAGTTTTGGAAAAGAAATAGGAATGTTTTTTTAAAGAGTGGAATAATGAGAACTTTGTTTTATTTGAATTAATAGAAAGTTTATTTGCATTGAACCATAGTGAAATTTTATCTAACTCGTTGTTCATTTGTACGAAGAGTTGAGGTATATCTCTTCCTGAAATAAAAAAGTTACTGTCGTCAGCAAACATTTTTGTTAATATATTTGACGCTCTCCAGAGATCATTCACGTATATTAGGAAAAGTAGAGGCCCAAGAATAGATCCTTGGGGCACTCCTCAAGAAATTAAAGATGAATTTGTAAGTTTTTTATTTCCGTAATATATGGACTGTGTACGTTTACTCAGGTAATCTGCTATCCACTTGCAGGATACGCCTCTTATGCCGTACATCATAAGCTTTTTTATCATTATTTTATGATCCATTGTGTCAAAGGCCTTAGAGAGGTCAATAAACACGCCTAAAGTAAATTCTCCGTTTGCAAAAGAGTTTTTTATTTCATTAATTAAGTGAAGTATTGCATGTTCAGTTGAAATGCTTTTCTGGAATCCAAACTGTTTTGAATAGAATAAATCATTATCTTTAAAAAATGCATATAACCTATTGAACATAATTCGCTCAAAAATCTTAGAAACAATGGAAAGTATAGATATTGGTCTATAGTTTCCAATATCCGTTTTATCGCCTAATTTATATATAGGTTTAACTTTTGCTGATTTAAGTATATCAGGAAAGATACCCTCATTCAGAGAACGTTTACAAAAAACTCATTATAACAGTCAATAACAATGTTGCTGTTTATACCATCAATTCCAGAAGATTTATTACGTTTCAAACTTTTAAAAACTGTTTCGTGTTCTTTAAAGGTTAAATTCTCATTCTTAAATTGCTTTTTATTGTAATGAAGGTATTCCTTAAATGATTTATTTACATTTGGATTTTTTGCAAGTTTAGGTCCTATATTCACAAAAAAATTGTTAAATTCATTTGCTATATTGTTTTCATTGGCAATAGTTTTATTTTTAATATGTAAGATTTTCGGAAAGAAAGATTTATTGATTTTCGGTTTTCCAATTATTTCATTTAGTACTTGCCAAGTTTTCCTAGAATTTAATTGACACTTTTCAAGTTGCTTTTTATAATAGTTTGATTTTGCAGTTTGTTTGATTTTCTCAAATAAAGTCCTGTAGTTTTTATATTCTGCCTTGGTTTTTATGCACTTATTTTTTAGTTATCTATCGTACAGTCGATGTTTTCGCTTCGAAGCTTTTTTTAAACCTTTACTAAACCATGGCGAATTTAAGTTTTTAATTTTAATTGTTACTTTTTTCTCTAAGAAGTGTTTTTCATACAAGTTTAAAAAATTGTGATGGAAGTTATTAAACATGGAATTAGCATCATTGAACGATTCTAATGGAGACCAGTCTATATTTCCAAGTTCATTTTGAAACGCTAATTGATTGGTTAATAATAGGAGGCGTTTAGTAAATGTGACTTTATTTTGTTTTTGTTTTTGTTTATTTGACGTATTAGCGGATATGAAAATTGGCATGTGATCTGAAATTGGTGCTTTAACTATTCCTTTTTTTAACGAGTTTTCAAATAAAAAATTAGTTAATATATTGTCTATTAATGATGAAGAATTTCTTGTTATTCGTGTTGGTCTGTTTATTAAAGGGATCACACCATATCGAAATAAATCATTGTAAAAGTTTTGACTTTCTATATCATTGTCATAATTTAGGGCGTTAATATTAAAGTCACGTAAGACAAACAGTTTTATTTTTTCTAGAGAAACTTTTTGAATAATATTCTGGAGATGATTTGAGAAATTTTCTGTGGACGCATTTGGCGGTTTGTAACAACAAGTTACTAAAATATTTTTGGTCTTATCATTAACTATTTCAATCGAAACAAATTCGCCGTTGCATTCAGATATACACATGTCATTTTATATTTTAAACCGCAAACTATTTTTGACGAAAATAACCTCTTTTTTTAGACTTTCTTTGAAAGTGAATTGCGTCATATTCTAGTAAGTCAAACCGACAACTTTTGCAAAAATCAAATCAGTTACAAAAACTGGCACAAGTGCGAATTGGGATAAGTGTGCCAAACAAATTTGCAAACATTGGCATAAGTGCAAACTGGCATAAGTGCGAAGTAGTTACAAAAACTGGCATAACTGTGAATTGGTATAAGTGCGCCAAATAAATTTGCAAACATTGGCATTAGTGCAAATTGGCATAAGTGCGAAATACTAATTTGCACTTATGCCAATATTTAAAAATTTATTCGGCGCATTTATGCCATTTCGCAGTTATCCCAGTTCGCACTTATGTCAGTTTTTGTAACTGCTTCGCACTTATGCCAATGTTTGCAAATTTGTTTGGCGCACTTGTGCCAATTCGCACATATGCCAGTTCCAGTTTTTGCAACTGCTTCGCACTTATGCCAATGTTTGCGAAATGTTTTGGCGCACTTATGTCAATTTGCACAAATGCCAGTTCGCACTTATGCCAGTTTTTGCAACGCTTTGCACTTATGCCAGTTCGCACATATGCCAATTCGCGCGTATGCAGCCTCCCGAATTTTTCATATTAAAAACCCAAATTTTCTTCGGATTAAAGATGGTTGATAAAGTATTTTTCAAATTTGCTGTTAGTAATTCAAACATTAAAGCAAAAACAACTCAATAGCTTGTAGGAAACATTGATTGCCAGCAACAAAATGAAAGTAGAAATATATTTAAAATTATAGATATATTTGATTTAAGCAATGCAAATACATTTTTAGTATTTAACTAACTCCCTAAAATTATATAAAAACTCATAGAAACCAAAAAGAACCAAAGTATAAATCGAATAAACCCTCTAAGATTGTTTAAATGTTTGGGTTTTAATTTAAAGTATTTTAAAACAAAACAATACCAGCATATAAATTTTTTGCTTCAAAAGCATTTTTAAAGACAACCAGGAAAAGACATTGAAGAAACCTTACGAAAAACATATTTTATTACTTTAACTTGTAACAAAATTAGCTGTTATTCCCTAAAGCCTTTATTGAACCCAAATCCTGAAATATTGCAAAGTTTTCTATTTTAGAATCTGATTAAAACAAAGTTTAAAAATGTTTTCTTTTTTTAAAAATTTTATATTATACGAGAACAGCAATCTCCGAAACAATCAACCATGTTGGTCTATTAAGCTCATCGTGACCAGTACTTAGTATTTTTAGTTGTAAACATTTTATATAACCTGCAGCAGCATCAAAGTTATATTTTACTATATTAGAATTAAAAAATGTTTTTAATAATGTATATTTTGCACATGAATGATCTGTGCTTGCGAGAAGTTCAGTGTCATACAATATATCAGCAGGATGTTGGGAATTTCCACTGGAAATTATAAATTGCGATATTTTAGTTGGATTTTCAAAAATAATGTCTATAGTGTCTCCAACTTGAACTTTTTTTGACCAAAACTGACCCGAATTACCGTAAGGGTTAGTTATTTCATGAGGACGAACAATTTCAGTCATCGTTGTTTTTATTTCTGCTTTGGGATTTCCGCCTTTGGATTGGTAAATATGAACACCTATCTGTTCAGAATAATCGTTTATATCTTCAAGTTTCCTGACTTGACCATCTAATGACGAAAATTGACCAACATGTTTAAAAATCGGTGATTTTGTTTTGTGAGATTTCCCATTTAAAAATAAGTCGTTAAAATAACGAAAAGTCCAATCTACTGGCATTGTCCAATAAGCAAAACGAACAAACTTGGAAAGCAATTTTAGATGTTCACTGCGGTACGTCATGCCAATAAATCCTCTAGCACCAAATTCTAAAATTGCCCAATCCTCACTATTTCTAATAAACTCACTAATTTTTTCTAAATAATTTTCTTCAGCTATGATATCATCTTCAAGTTGAATATAAAACTGGGCGAGATCTGCGCAATAATAAAAAAGAAAAGCATAATCAAGAGACTGCTTTGATCTCCATATAGTGCGTGTTATTGAATCGCCGTACAATGTTGGAATATTTTCCATACTAGGGTAGAAGGATGCAGATGGTTGAATAACCTAAAAATAGAAAATTAAAATAGAATAATGTCTTATAAAAAAAAAAAAAAAGTTAATCATATTAAAAGAAAATTAAACTTTGATGCACAAACCATTTAACTTAATAACACTACACAAAAATAATATTCAAATTTATCTTCTTTCAACATAATAACATTCTAATATAAATTTCATGTTTCAGTTCTTGTTTGTTTTTCTAGTTCTTTATTTATAATTTAATGTTTAAACATAAAATGAATTTAAGTTTTAATTACTCAATATAAAGTTTTCTAAATACAAAAGTTTTCTAAAAAGTGGTCTAAGAACAGGGAACGTAAAGTAAATAAATTGAGGCTCAGAGAAGACATATGACAATTGCAATCTTTTCATAAACCGTTTATGTAAAAGTTAAATAAAAATAAAATAATAATAACCTATAGTTGAGGCCTAAATAAAATAGTCAAACAATAAATAGCGAATAAAATAGTAATATCAAAACAGATGAGGTTTTAGGTATATATAATAGAAATAAAAGTCACAATTGAGCATAATTTATAAATTTCATTATTTATAAATTTCATGAGGATATTTTGGTTTGATTTTTTAGATATTTTGGTCTTGCATATTCAAATTTACGTCAGGTTAATGCAAGCATATTTTTTTTAATCTAAAATTTTTTTGAAGTTTGTTGGATGGGTACCAAAATTGTGAAAATCATTTCACATAGAGGGAAATTTATTAATATGAGTGCGATAGATGCATTTATGAGTGGTTTCTACAGTATTACTAAAAATTAACATAGTAACCCTCTTTTGGATTTCTAGAAATTTCATAAAGTAAGTACGCAGGTATAGGGGGGGGGGGGGGAGGTTACCCGAAAGCGTACGAATGCGTGCAGGAAAAAGGAGAGTGTTAAAAACAGCGAATATGTACGCGGTTTGACTATCTCTCATTCTTTAACTCTCCTAAACTTGATATAGCTGTGGTCACAGTGGAATATAAACACATCGATTGACATAAATAGAGACAGGCACAGTGGTGTATACATACATCGAATAACCTGAATAGCGATATGTACAGTGAAGTGCACATACATAGACCGATGGTTTTAGTTTGGGCAAGAATTTTTTTAATTAAAAGAAAAGTATTATAAAGTATCAATATTTATTGAAATATTGTTCATAAATTAATTTAATTTATATAAAAAAGCTAATAAATATAACTACACTGGATTTTTAGATAAGATAGCTAAGATAATGACTTATGCTTAAATAAGCGAGTACAAATTGGAAAAAAATTTTCGTATCCGCATACAAATAAAAAAATCGTACGCGCATACAAACAAAACCTTCATTATTCTATTCGAAAAGTAAATACACCGCGTGGCAAAAAAAAAATCATTAATTTTTTATTCCGAACTTATTTGTAGAAAACGAGAAAAATATCTTCAATTCATGAGTAGTATAAAAAAGCATATTCAAAATTCGAAAAACAAAAGCAGTATCAGTGCGCACAGAAAAATAGGAAAAAAAAAGATTAATTCTTGTATAAAAAAAAATTAAACAAGCTAAAAGTGAAAGTGACAGCCGAATGGAAAAACTTAAAAATGTTATTCGGGGAAAATGTCTTTTCGCAACCTAGCAAAAAGAAAAAATCCATCCAGCATCGTCTTCGTCAAATGAAACACGAAATTCTCTAACTTCTCTAAATACATCTACGACAGAGTCTGCAAGCAATGATCTTGATAAGCATTTTTCTGTAATATTTTACAAATATTTTCTTTCTCATGATATTCTATACAACGAGTTTAACCGAATTGTAAATCGAACTACATTAAACGACGAGCAGTCAGATTATTTATCATTGACCACTAAACCTATTTTTCGATATCAAAAATAAGTGAATCAGTATCAACTGTTAAGAATTTATAACAGCATAACATTAAAAAATTTTTTTCAGTATTTTTTAATTTTGATCCAACGACAAGAAAAGAGAAAATTCGGTACAAGTTAGGAGTCGAAAGAAAATCTCAAACCTTGAATCACAACGTTCAAAACAAAGACGGTAGAACATTTGCTGAATTACTCATTGATGACAACGTTCAAAACAAAGACGGTAGAACGACAAAATAATGCTTCATGAATGAAAGCTTTGAAAAAACTCACAATTTTGTGAAAAAACTTACGGGTTTTTAAAGATTAATAAGATGGAAAACACTTAAAAAGTCCTGAATTTTTGCAAATCTGTTTGTCATGAATAATATTTTGTTGAAGGAGAATAATATTATTATTTTTCCAAAAAAAAAATGCAAAGAATAAATAGACATTTCTTTTACTTATATACATATAAAATCATATAAAATATCATAATATTATAAAAAATATAACATTATAATATTATAGAAAATATTATAAAATTATAGAACAAATTTTTTCGTTTTGTTTTATTTTTAACTATTTAAAAATAAAATCATATTTTATAACCTGGACTCAAACCTGGTTGATGGAGCTCAGCGTCAAGAAATATAAAGTCATGCATTTTAGCTAATAAAACACTTCCCAAACGTTTACTCAATCAACTTGTCCCCTTATTTTGAAAAAGACATAGACATCATAGAAGGCATCCAACATCGGGCTACCAAAGTACCACACGAATTAAAGCGCTTCGACTACAAGACGAGATGCATCAAACTCGGCCTCACCTCTCTACACGACAGAGGTTTACGCGGCAACCTCGTCCAATATATAAAATTGAAAACAATATTGATTCAGTTAGCTGGCATATTGTTCCACCTAGCATCCCTCCAAGATACGGCCATCGCAAGCGCTTTCACTGTGAAATGGATAACAACTGCCGCGTTCGTTTTAACTTTTTCAATAACCGCGTTGCTAACCATTGAAACGCACTACCAAACGAATTAGTCACTGCAATAAGCGTTGACTGCTTCAAAGCAAAGTTCAATGAACTGTCATAATTACTACAGCGCATCATCTTCCGTGCAATTTCGCACGAGCAAGCTCGGCTAGCTGTTAATGGGCTTACAGAACACGCCCGTTCTGTGTAATTCAACTAATAATAATAATAATTATGAATCCAAATTTAATCTGTTCTTTTTGTTAAAAATAGTAATAAAAATGTTATTGTTAAAAAAAATTTCTTAAAGCTTAAAAATGCAAATAAAACTTTCATTAATTTTTACTTTTTTTAAATTTAAAAAGTAAAACATTTTCCTTTTTAAAATAAAACATAATTTCTAACCATAGCCTACTATATTACAAGGTCGTGCATGTTACGTTTTAGAGACCGTTTTTAAGAGAATTACATTTGCAAAAAAACAACAACACTGGCATTATAAAAAAGCTTTAAATATTAAACTTGTGTAATAACAAAAATTATAGCTGTAAATAGCTAAGTTTTTGCGTTAAGGGATTCTTTTAGATTACACAAAAGGTTGCAACAATAAGAATAGCAACTACGACAACAAAAATGTGAGATGTTGTGAACAATAAAAATGTGAGAAGTTGTTAACAATAAAAATGTGAGAAGTTGTTAACAATAAAAATGTGAGAAGTTGTGAACAATAAAAATGTGAGAAGTTGAGAACAATAAAAATGTGAGAAGAAAAAGTTTTCATAAACCACAAAACTTGCAATGTGAAAGTAACATTTCAAATACGTTAGCATCATCCATGTAAGAACAAAGTCATTCAGTGCCAGTGTCATTTATAAAATAGTATTTAAAATAGTTTCCATAGTTACTAACCTGTATCAATCCTGCACTTATTTCTTCAGAAAAGTTTGATTTTACATGACTCAATACTTTTTGAAAGTAATCTGGACGAAAGTCTGCAACAAAGACAACAATTACAACTTTGTTCCAATCTTTTTTGTCGAGATTATTTACCAACGATTGCAAAGTATCAATAATGTAAAACCCTTTTTCTCTATAAACTGTTGGTACGCCCATGACAAGAAAGGCTGAAAAAATAAAACTTTTAAGAGTTTATATTAATATTCAATATATTTCTAAAGAACCTTCCTAACAAATTTTGTTAAAAAATAAATTAAAAAAATTATTTAACGCACTTTAAACTTACATTTTTTTTCACGGGCGTTGCCAAGAAAAAGATTTTTTTTAAAGTGTTTTTCCATATTTTCTAATTCGAGCCATGCTAAAATATAAACAAGTTTGTTTTGTATGACTTAGCAATTAACTACTAGAAAAATTTCTTTGCGCGTAGTCTAGGTTAAAATAAGCCTGGTTTTGGTTTAGCGCATAATTTGAAAAACTTACAAAACCTTACCCAGTGAGCATGAGTCGTCCGACGGACGTCCATCGGAAGTCTCACGGACGTCTTCTGAACGACGCATGACGACTGGGTATCAACATTAATGAACGTCCGCGCGAATAGACTAAAATAATGCAATTTAAGGCAAAATATTAAAAATTAAAAACTTCATTTTCCAAATACGTATATACTATGATTGTATAACAGTATATTTTAGTATAAATTTTGTACTTTTATTTTGAACTAGTATTCTTGTACTTTTTTTTTTTGTTGTAAAAATATTTACATTATTTGATAATATAATAATAATTTTAAACAAACAATACGACATATTTTCGATATTTCATTTATTAAAATTCTATTTAAATATAAACCTAAAACCTAAAATTCTTAAATATCTTTAAAGATTAAAAATTCAGATTGACAATAATTTAATTAACCCTAAAGATCAATCCCTGCTTTTTTTACATAACTTTTCTAGTTTTTTTTTCAAATGAAAACATTCAAACAAGTTAAAACATTCATACATATTTGAGATGATAATTTAAAAGCTTCTGTTTAAGTTTGATTGTGCAAGAAATTAAGTTCACTAAAGTCTTCTGCACAAATCAAATTTGTAGCCAAAAAAAATTTCTGGAAATTACTTATGCTATAAAATTAAAAATTAATACAAATAAACAATAAAATACGAAAATAAACAAATAAATAAACAAAATTCAAATAAATATTAATTAGATTAAATCTAAAAATGCTATTAATTAAAGTATAATTAATTCCAAAATCATTACTTACGAGAGTTTTGCGGATTAGTACTTATTACGTTAACATTGTTCTTTTCTTTCACTATATAGTCCAATTGCTTCCTTAACCCTTAAAAAAATATTCAGCACACTGAGAATTTTTAGAATATATTTAAATTTTCATAAATACAACGGCATAGATATATTGTTGTGGGACTAATGAAACAAAATATCTGCCATCAACAAAACAAAATATAAAAGCAATCTCAGAAGCTAAAATTATAGGAAAAAGTTTTATTTTGTCAAATGCAAATAATTGTTTTATAATTAATAATCATTTTTTCGATGGAACTACAAATTTTTGGTTCAACCATTAACTTAAAATAATTATGTAGAAAGAAAAAAAAGAAATTTAGTTTTCTTTTTAATTTTATTTTTTGGTAGAGTGAAAACATTAAACACATTAATGATATGATTTGCTAAGTAAATACAAAATACAAAAACAGTAATATACAAAATATCGATAAAAAAGTTTCAGAAATTATTAAGGGAGAGAAGCATAAAATATATATATCAAGTTCATCAATTATATTATATAGCCTTGTAAATAAATTGTATGTGTTTTCCTCAACTATTTTATGCTTCCAGTGAAGAACCCAGAGTTTATTTTGGGATACCGTTTTTTTTTTAGCAACGCTGAGGGGGGAGGGATTATGTTTTTGATTTCCTCCTCCCCCTCATTCTCCTCTAGTTAAACGGGTGCTGCAACAATTTTTGCAACAACTTTTAATAATCATTTTCTTAATAATCATTTATGTTTATCTTGCTCAGTTTTATCCTATAATAAGGTGATGATTTAAAGGCATTTTTTGAATACATGAATTTACTGGTGGACGATGTTACTTAAGGTGAAAGAAAACTATTTTAAGATTTTAATAAACGTTTTTGTTGCATATACCACGCTATCAGTAAATAATTATTGAAAATTGTTTAAAGTATTTTAAACAGTTATTAACTATATTTTAGTCATTTAATTTAAAATAATAAAAATATTTTAAACAATTTTTAATCAATATTTACATTACATAATATATTTGCATATATATTTACATATATTATATCGCGTAATATTTGTAAAATTAACAAAATAGTTTTACGTTCTTGTATTTGAATTAAAAACATAAGCATTTTATAAACTTATTTTCAATTATTTCAAATTTAAAATTTTGATTTAAATATTAATAAAATTTAAATATTAATAACATTTAACTTTTACTGAAGGTTATAATTTTTAAAGTGATTTTAAGGCGCCTTTTAAATTAAAGATAATTAAAGAGATAATTGCAGTAAACATAATTTAAAAAATATTTTATTATTTTGATTAAAAACCATATTATATTTTTAAAAACATATTTAAAACAAAATATATTTTTAATTATTAAGAATAATTTAAAAAATTACATTTGAATAAATAAATTACATTTACTATGGGTTATTTTAAACAGATCTAAATAAAACTTTTATTATGTTATTAAAACTTTTTTTTTTTATTATTTTAAAAAGAATATTGAAAGGAAAAAAAACTGTCTGAAAAAGATTATACTTCGTTTTTTCCTTTTCCTTACGTAAACTAAAATAGCAAGATCAAAAGTTCATTCATTTAAAAATTAAATTTGCGCGATAGTTATAACGACTGATTTTTTTTACTTTTGTTCATTTATTATTAAAAGCAGTTTACTTTTAAATGCCAAAAAGAAAAATTAACCTGGATATTTAAAAACGCTTTAACTTTCAAAAAAGCAAGTCTTTCGATTGTTGTAAAATTTTGCAACGTGGTTTTAAAATTAAGTTTCTTAACGACTTTCATTTTTTTTAAAGTTATGTCCAGTTAATAACCGAAGGTTAAAAAGGCAAATTACTCACGTAGTTATGTAAAAAAGCAATTTCTTTTTAATTCTTTTTATTTTCCTGAAGAAAAAATGAGGTAGCTAAATTGAACTGAGAATTATTTATATACTACTGCATTTAAAACTAAATTTTTTTTTATTATTTATAAAAAGTCAAAAGAAAAATTAAAAAATGAAGATAATTTTTGGGCGCTTTTTTTTAGGCGCCTATACCGGTAAAACGGTACTAAACACGTCTGGGTTCTTCACTGGTTTCTCTCCCTTAATAATTTCTGGTTATATATGTATATATATATATATATATATATATATATATATATATATATATATATATATATATATATATATATATATATATATATATATATATATATATATATATATATATCAGAGCTGTTTTCAAGTCGCTTTGGAGCAAGTCTCAAGTCACTGAGGTCAAGTCTCAAGTCATATAAACAATAAATTTCATGACTTAAAGAAAAAATGAACCAATCAGAACGCACACAAAAAAGTTGGAATTTTTTGAAAACGAAAGAGCCTAAATGCAATATCTTTCTTCGGACCTCGCTTAGACTACAAACCAGTTAAATGTAAGTTAAAATAAAAACATATGAAAATAAAAAATAGTTAAAAAACAGTTGAATTAAAATAGAAGATAAATTGCTCAATTTTTGAAAAGACGGAAAATAATAATTTTAAAGTCGCTAAGCCGAAATTAGCGTCTCGAGTCAAGTCACAGGTAGGCTCTCTTGTCAAACCCCTATTCCGAGGTTGAGCGTCCTTTGCGTCCGCGAGTTTGTATTTCTAGAAAATAGGCGAAATGGGGTATATAGGGATTTGCGCTGCGGTGTGCACATACACCGACTGATTTTTAGAGAGAACATGCAGCGGAGTGTGGAAACAACGACTGAGGGTTTGGAGTAGGCAGGTTCTCTTTTAAATAAAAAAGTCGTTCTTTTACATTTTCGGACCTTGAGGACAGCGTCGGAATAACGAGAGCCTACCCAAGTCACAAGTCTCAGGGTAAAACCCAGTGTCGAGTCTCGAGTCGAGTCACTGGTGTGACTTAAGTCGGACTCGAGTTCGAGTCGGTTGACTCGAGTCTCCAGCTCTGATATATATATATATATATATATATATATATATATATATATATATATATATATATATATATATATATATATAAATATATATATATATATATATATATATATATATATATATATATATATATATATATATATATATATATATATATATATATATATATATATATATATATATATATATATATATATGTATATATATATATATATATCAAGTGTTACTAACCGTGTTAGTTTTAATAAGTTTTTTTATTTACTATTATTTCTTTTCTTTATTTATTTGTTATTATTTTTTTTAATCTCACTTTTTTTTTCTTTCTTTTTTTGCCAAAAATGCTTCACTTATTTTTTGTTTTGCTTGTAATGTTTGTTCTAACTTTTGTTTTGTTTTGATTTACTCTGAGTTTTTCTTTTTATATTTTATTTATTTATTTGGTCAAAATATTTGCCTTGTAATTCGTCTTTGAACTGTGACGTGAAGGACTTGGTCTTCACAAAAAATAAAGTATTTGTAAAGATCAAAAAAGGGACTTGGTCTTTACAAAACAATATAGTGTTTGTAAAGACCAAGTCCCTCACATCTACAGTTTAAATAAAATTCTCATTAACCGACACCAATACATAAAATCTTTATGTATTGATTATGAGATAAATATCTACGCCTAATTTTTCCAGAAACAAGTACAGAAACGAAGACTCTCTTGTGTTTCCACATCCTTAGACTTAGAAATCGGACTTTTGAATACAGATGTAAGTGTTATTAACCAAGGTCTTTAAAAAAGGTCATAGGAATTTCAAATATAAGGTCAGGACTGAACCTAGAAGATGAGCATATAGAGCCATCCTTGCGTGCATTAAAATTGACAACCATCTTTGTCCTGTTTCTAATTTTCCACATCACCCATATCATTTATCAGATTTACGAAAAGTTCTTAAATGCTTTATGTTTTATGTTGTGTAAAAGTTGTATATTGTATAGATTGTTCCATTTATTTTGACTTTAAAATCCCGTACTTTGCTTTTTTTTTGGTTTTCTAATCGATATATATGTAAATATACTGAAATAAAAAAACATTTATAACAATTAAATAACCATTATAACAATGATAATAAAAACAATAACAAATATTAATAAAATAGCAATAATAATAAAAAGACAAAAATTAAAAAATATATATATTTTGATTATTTCCACACTTTCGTTGATTCAAATATCAATAAATTTCGTGACAGTCAATTTTTTTTATATTTTGGATATGTACAAACGCTTACTTCTGTTAAGGTTTTCTTTCGGTGTACTTTAACAATGGTATTAATAAACATTAAACTTTTAACGTAAAATAATCTTAAAAAAAAAAGTTAAATTTTTTTTTTTATATCTTCACTTCTATTGTAAAGTGTAGTCGTTTAAGCTTAAGAGTTGTTTAAAATGCTCAAAGGAGCATTTATAAAAGTGTCGCTTAAGCACAAAAGTAACATTTTTTAAAGAATCAGATTCGTTCAGGTTTGTTGAAAAGGAATAAAATTATTTTGACTCCTTGAGAATCATCTCTATAGATAAATGTTAAACTGAGAATCATCTCTATAAATAAATAATAAACTGAGAATCATCTCTATAAATAAATGTTAAACTGAGAGTCTCTATAAAAAAATGTTAAACTAAGAATCTCTATAATTAAATGTTAAACTGAGAATCTCTATAAATAAATGTTAAACTGAGAATCTCTATAAATAAATGTTAAACTGAGAATCTCTATAAATAAATGTTAAACTGAGAATCTCTATAAATAAATGTTAAACTGAGAATCTCTATAAATAAATGTTAAACTGAGAGTCTCTATAAATAAATGTTAAACTGAGAATCTCTATAAATAAATGTTAAACTGAGAATCTCTATAAATAAATGTTAAACTGAGAATCTCTATAAATAAATGTTAAACTGAGAATCTCTATAAATAAATGTTAAACTGAGAATCTCTATAAATAAATGTTAAACTGAGAATCTCTATAAATAAATGTTAAACTGAGAATCTCTATAAATAAATGTTAAACTGAGAATCTCTATAAATAAATGTTAAACTGAGAATCTCTATAAATAAATGTTAAACTGAGAATCTCTATAAATAAATGTTAAACTGAGAATCTCTATAAATAAATGTTAAACTGAGAATCTCTATAAATAAATGTTAAACTGAGAATCTCTATAAATAAATGTTAAACTGAGAATCTCTATAAATAAATGTTAAACTGAGAATCTCTATAAATGAATGTTAAACTTCACATTATTCTTACTCGTGAAATTTTTGCGCTGTAAAAAAAAGAGAAAAGCAAAAACAATGTTACTATATATAAAAAGAAATAAAAAGTCACAACGAAAATAACCTTAGAATATATGGAAAAAGGGATCTAAAATTTAATTATTTGTATTTAGGGCTCTATTGCCGGGATTTGTTTTAAAAACAAGACAAATAATCTCTATAATTGATCAAACAGAATGTATTATTTCGATCTGATCTATTCAATTTTGATCAATAAAGCATGGTTATATAATTAATTACTGACTACCAGTGCAAAACAAATTAAACTAAATTGACCAAATAAAGCTCCAAACGCGTATGTATTTATACATATGTCAAATAAAAATGCTTTGCAAAGGATTTCAATCACTTAAGCCTGGACAAATGCATACATTTTGCCCTAACACAAACATGAGAAAAAACGAGTTTATGAAATGTACTTTCTACTATTTTTAAACAGTAAAAAATAAATTTTATTAATTTATATTTATCAATAAATTTTAAATTTCATACAACAATCTCTTAGTGTTCAAAAATTATGATCACATAAAGTTTGATCTCCTTTCATTTTGAGAGGTATACAAATTTTACATTGTCAGCATTTTTTAACACTAAAAAACTAATAATAAATTGGGCTTCGCGTCTAGAAGATAACTATTCCGAAGACCAAAAATTAGTGTCTTAGCCTAAGTTAGATAATTACCATTTTCTAGATTAGTAGTTCGCTCATTGATGCTTACAAGTAGATTGTAATGAACATCTAAATAGCCTAAAAATAATCGAGGAAAATTAAATATCTGCAGAAATGAAACAAAATCACTTGGTTTCTTTAAAAAAATAAACTATTTACAACAATAACAAAAATAGACAACTAATAATACTACAATTAGAGGTGTACCGGTATGAATTTTTATATAACCGGCTATTTGGAAAGTAAAGGGTTATTTGAAATTTTTTATTTTTTTGCTTAAATTATTTGCTCTATAAATATTTTTTGAATTAGGAAGTTATGTTTGCAATATTTTAATTAGACAACTTGGCTGTTTCCAAAATTAAATGGTTATTGATGTTATATTTATCCAAATTGCGTTAAAACTTGCGAGTAAAACAACCATGTTTTTTAATCAGAAATAAATACATGACAAACTTTGTTTCTGAACAATAAATAAAGAAACGGCAAGAATTTGAAGACCATTTAATCAAAATATATAATAATCTGACAGTTTAAATTTCTTATTGCATTTATAATATAGTAAAGTTTTTCATAAAATATTTTAAGATTCATACATAGGGGCTATTTGGAAAGCATATTGGGGTTATTTGGAAATTTTTAAAAAGCTAAATACATTTAATTGTGAAAGTAAAATTTATGATTTGTATTTGTATGTGTTTATATATATATATATATATATATATATATATATATATATATATATATATATATATATATATATATATATATATATATATATATATATATATATATATATATATATATATATATATATATATATATATATATATATATATATATATATATATATATATATATATAATATATATATATATATATATATTAGGGTGCGTCATTTTTCAACAATTTTTTCAAACTAAATCCCAACCACCTCGATTAGTTGACCGGTTAGATAAAAATGATTTTACACTAAAAAAGAATTTTTGAAACCCATTTTTAAGGTCCCCGCTTTTACAATTTGTGCCCCAAAACCCCAACTTTTTTAACCAAAAAGCGGGGATCTTAAACATTGATATAAAGTTTTCGTGACACAAAAATTTCATTTGGACATTTTTTCCAGGTCATACTCTTTAAGCATTCGTTTCTATTTTGAGTTTGGCTATGCAAACATTTTAACAATAGCGATTCTGCTGATAAATCATGCCAAACTGGCATTAACAAATCTTTAATTGTAATTGGGAGGCTTAAGTTTTTCTTGTATGTTTTATTACCTGTTAATTTGTCAGCCTGCCATAAATACCAGGTATCTTTGGCCCCTATAACTTCCATGGATTCAGAACTACCTGTATGATTTGACTGGCAAACATGATTAAGTTTCTAATCCACATATTGAGAAGATTGTTTCTTATACTTCCACATAGAACAACCATGACAAATTTTAGATAAGACATCATAGTCTAAACACATTCCATTTAGCGAGCTGTGTCCTCTCTTCTGCGACGAACCATCAACGGAAACTGTACAGTTCATTGTTTCTTCATTTTTCTACTCTTTTAGTCTTGCTGTTTCTTTAGCTGCTTTGGTCATAGATGCTTTACAAACACTATTATATATACGACGCAAAACATTATTAATGTTTGTATAGGCTTTTAAAGAAATAGGTGGTGGCATATTTAATATTATAACTAAAAGATTTTATAGCTCTATGATCTCTACCAATGTCTCTAAATGCCAATACCATTTGAACATTAGTAGAAAAGAACTTTCTGCCACAATATTTTGTAATGTTATTTTTATTTTGAATATAAGTGATACTCTTGGACGTTTTAAAAGCTTTTTGCCATCGACAAGAATCTGAAGTACATGATAGTCGTAGTTCAAAACAAATTCCTTGTCGCTTAACTTCATTATTTTCAAGATTAACATAACTTCCACAGTCTAAGCAACTAACTATTTCTTTTATTAAAGATTTTAATAAAGTAAAATTAATTATAATGTTATAATCATCTTTGTCTACTGAAACAATAGAGCCAAAATTTATTTTCCCTGAACTTGAGTTACGAGTTGAAGGAAAAGAATCAGATGCTAAATTTTGTTCAAGTGTTGGATTATCTTCTTTTTTTGTGTACCGATTGCAAGCAAACGATCTCTTTTTTGTTCTAGAACGAGTTCTTGGCTTATTATTTAATAAAACTTCTAAATTAAAACTGTTGTTAGGGGCTGTCCATTAATTACGTCAACAAAATAGGGGGGAGGGAGGGTCTGAACTTTTTTGACAATTATTGACATGGGCGAGCGGGGGAGGTCAATTAAAGTTGACGTCAACAATTTTTCTTTTTTTTTGAGTTTCATTACGGAAAATTAGGCTGAGTTTGTAGCGTAGAATCTTTGTAAAGGGGAGGGGTAATCAAAGATTGACGTAATTTTAATGGGGGGGGGGGGGCTGTTTGGAAATTTGACAAATTGTTGACAAGGAGTTAGGAAGAGGTAAAAATTTCAAAAAATTTGTTGACGTAATTAATGGACAGCCCCTTACAAAAAGTGTTATAATCACATATAAACAAAGCAATAATTTTAAAACTTATAGCAAACGAATTTGTGCTTTGAAAGTATGATTAATAACTTTAACTTAACAAGCAGCTAAAGGGGTTTTCATTATCATATACTGGTAATATAGTTTTCTATAATGTCAAAGTAACGTGCTAAGAACGTTGCTATGTCCGAAAAATTTATTAGTCTTTAAAAAGCTAAAACACTATATATGTTTGTTTTTTCAAAAAATAATTTTTAAAACTGTGTTCATAAAATTTTACATCAAATACTATAATAATAATTTTTTTCAGAATTTCTGGTTATGTACCACCTTAAGCTTAGAATATTTTTATTATTATAAGCTGTAATTTATGACTTTTACTTTAAAGATAAAATAAAACGAAGATTTAAAAAGTATTAAAGATGCTACCAAAAATTACGAGATCACTTTCAAAGACATTTTTATTTGAAGAAAAAAAAGTCTTAGAAAAACTTTGTGAAACGCAGTTTGCCACAAATGAGAAAATTATTCTTCATTTTCATTACAGGTATGATTAAAACATTAAACTGATTATAAATTATCATTCAATAGTAATTACCTGATATTTGCTCCATTTTGAAGAAGAAATATGGAAACAACCTAAATTCATACAATTCAGATTTTTAAATGATCAAATGACGAAATGTAAAATGACACTTATGACATATGCTAAATCCTTTGAACCAAGATTCAAAGGATTTAGCATATTGCCGAAAGCTGAAAAAAATAGAAGAAAGAAGATTGCGATATTCAACATTTATTGAGCAACAAGAGAATCAAACTGAGAAAATTGAGTTTTTATCATCAGAACAAAGTGAGGTCTTCTCTTGTCAGGATTCCGACTATTCAGCAGACGAAATTAAGTCAGGTACAAGTGCTTCAACAGTATTGCCTAAAAAATTTGCAAAAGAAGTTGCAATTACTAGTGTTTCTAAAATTATTTCACCTAGAAATATGATGCACTTGCTCTCTGACTTAGTAGTTACTTCTGGGGGCAGCTTGACAGATTTCTCGCTTTCTGAATCTACTATCAGACGTGCAAAAAAGAAAGCAATAAGTACAAGTGCAGCTAAATATCGAGAAGATATAATAAAAGCTGCAATTCAAAGTAAATTTCCAATAATTGCACACTTTGATGGAAAAATCTTGCAGGATATTACTAACCGTACAAAACAAAAAAGAGATCGTTTTGCTGTTCTTGTAAATATCGATGGTGATTTAAGACTTCTTGGCATTCCGCTAATGGAAAATTGGACTGGAAAATCTCATCATGATACTTTAAAAAACATTTTGGATGAATATAAGCTGAGAACTTATATAAAGGGTCTGTGCTTTGACACAACTTCAACTAATACAGGAAAACAATCCGGCACAAACATTAGGTTTTGTCAAACACAGGGTTCAATTATATTACAGCTTGCATGTCGAAGACATGTTTATGAGCTTCACTATAAACATTTTTGGGAAAAAGTTCACATTGGTAAAACTTATGCTCCTGAAAATCTGATGTTCAAAGTTTTCCAAGCTAATTGGAACGCAACAAAGGAAACTATGAATAAATCAAAGTTCAAAGAGTTTGACAAAGCTGCAGGTAAAGGAACGTATCTAGAAAAACAGATCGAAAAAACTGTTCAATTTTGCAAATATGCACTTGCCAATTTAGTATTTCCAAGAGGTGATTATAAAGAACTGGTTGAACTTGCACTCACCTACTTATGTCCAGATGTAAGCTTTAATGTTTATGCTCCTGCATCAGTTTCCCATGCTCGTTTTATGGCAAAGTCTATATATTATCTTAAAATTCAAGTTTTAAGTAATCAGTTGCCCTACCAATTGACAGCTTGTTTACAAAAAGAAATCAGTAAAATGGCAGAATTTATTTCTATATTTTATACTGTGTGGTTTGAAAAGACGACGATAAACCTTGGCTGAACTGTTCTTCATCTTTTTGGGGCTTTATCGACCAATTTAAAACTTTCATTGAATTTGTTCGCCGAATATATGTTGTCAACGACTGCTCTGAACGAGCAATTAAGCTTGTGACAGAGTTTGTTAACTCTGTTCACAATTAAGAGGACAGGCAAGATTTACTGTTGGCCGTTCAGCATACTAGGAATAAATTCAGGGACTTCGAAAAAGTACAAACTACGGAGAGTGGCAAAAAAAAATGGCGCTGACAAAGCATAGTTTGGAGAATATTTATTCGATTTTTCACCAAAAACACGAAGAAAAGATTGTTGAGTTATAGTTTTACAAACTGTTTTTAAAGAAAATTTTTTCTTGATTATTTATTACTAATTTATCACTGCTGACCTTAACAATATCGTTATATATATATTTTTTTTAGCAAAAAATTTATTATTTTACCTTAACTATCTCAGCTACATGATATTCAGCACAATAGAATTGTTTCATTAAAACGCCTATTTTGCAGCGCCGATATAAAAACCTAATCAAACTATATGTAAAAATAAAACTTTAAGGCAGATGGTACATAAATATT